GTTTAAACACGTGAACGAGGGAGATTAACGAACCCCTGTCAGGTTACTTCACGGTGAAAGTTGCAAGCGGGCTTTGTGGAATGGATTGATCCTATGACGCGTTCTTTTCTGTTGCAGCAATTAGAGCTCATCACACCATTTCAACTGTATTTCAACCCGGAATTAATATTTAAACACTTCCAAGTAAGTACTTCTTCTGTATTCTGAATGCTGTTTTAAGAGGATGAAAGTTATCAATACTTGTTTTCAGACCCAAGCATGAAGACGATTACCCTTTTTTTTCAGGGAAATGGAATCATTTTAAAATGTGGATCGTCATGCTGGTGGAAACTCATACCTTTGATTCTTTAAAAACAGACACTATCTCTTTACATAAGAAAAGTTCCACGTCGGTTTTGTTGGTTGATAAGCGATGCATCCTAAAGTGTTCATTTTTAGGTCAGGAGTGTACTTGGTAGCTGTGCTGGGCTGAGACAAGAAGACGTACAAAAAAATTAGAACTCTTGGTTCCAAAAGGATACCTTTTATTTTATTTCCCAGTTGGTCTAATAAAAGGTATCATTTTGGAACCAAGAGTTCTGGTTTTTTGTATGTTACTTTTAAGTCACAAATGCAAATGCTTTCACTATATTCAAGCATATGAAAAGTTTGTTGTCTCTCTTATTTGCACTGCTGCAGCCCCTACCGAGTGACTACCATGGAGCAGAGCCTATTGTACTGTACATTGCTGTACAAATGCTATCTTGGAAAGCAATATTTACATCTGCACATACTTGTAAGATGACTTTCTGCAGAAATGTTTTCACTTTTAGTTGCAGAGAAATTGCCTTCCTAGGTATTTTTTATACACTCTGATGTAGTTTTGCTGTTTGCTTTCAGAAACAGTACTTCAGGTGGTATTACCAGATTACACAGCCTGCCTATTCTTATTAAAACTGTTAAATTTTAATTTTGATAATGCTTCAAGCTGTCTTAGTTACTCCTTCTTCCCACTGATCAAAGGTTATGTTGTTAGTTGGCTTGCCACTGTCCTTCCCTGCCAGATTTTCTCAGTGAGCAGGCATTTCAGGGAGCAGTCTCTCCTGTCAGAGTGAGGTTTTTTTTTTTTTTTTCTGAGAGATTGTTTCAGGGGGCCAAGATGCATCTTCCCCAGATTATCAGCAAATCCAAAAGAACGCTGAAAGGGAAAGCTTGTCATTTCTAAACTATAGCTATAGCTGATCGACCTGACAAGTTGTTCCCACTCCCACCATAGGCAGCAGTTGTTTTCTGAGTAATCAGGCTGGCCACTGACATTTTTTTGGCACTGTTATCTGATTGTGCATTCTATCCCAGAGGGATTCTGGGTGAAATGTTTGGGGCCCGTTTGGAAGCAACAGGAATAATTGGAAATGGGAAAGAAAGCCACGGTTCAGCTATGGGAGTGAAGAGGAGGCTGAAGTGTATGCAGTGTAGTGGCTCACCATGACTCGAAAAAGAGTTGGCAGTGAGAGGAACTGTGCTTAATGAGTGGTACCATATATCTTATTCAGATGGGCTGTACTAACCTGTCGTTGTGGCACAGGGGTTGCATTTATTGTAATGGGGATAATGACAGTTGACCCTACGCATATTATGAAGTCAAGCGAACTGGATTCGTCATGAGACAGAACTGTAAAGGTATGGGGGAGAAGAAGGGGTGTATCTATTTTTTAAGGTTGGGTATTTGACCGGTCAAATAAAACTCAGTCAATTGGCCAGTCAAATCTCAGTCCAAAATTGTAACAAATTGCCAATAGGTCAAAATACCACACAGAAAAAGCACAACTTTTCCATAAAGAAATGTGTCAAAAAAGTCATATTTCTGTCAAGAAAACTACAAAAATGTATTTTTTTGGTAAAATGATATAATGGTTGACCAGTCAAAAAATATGTAGTCAGTTGACTGGTTGATTATCAGTATTTGACTGGTCAATCGACTAGCTTGCCAGCCCTAATTCATTTATAGAAATGTATATTTTTTGCAAACCATCCCCTCCACCCCCGCAAAGAACGGAAGGAAAAAGCCCCAATATGAACCATGTGTTTTATAGTCGTGCTCAGTGTTGGCTGAGTTTGGTCAACTTCATAGTTGGTTTCCATTGCTGAGTGCGTGCTGCTTTTGGCTGCAGTTTAATGATAGACAGTATATTTAATGAGGTTTCCTACTGTGCAATGATGAGACAAGGGTCGTGTCCCATCCCCCCCGCCCACCACAAAACTGAGCCTTTTTTCTCCGTGCCAGTTCTGAGGGGGATGTGGGGGACACCTTTTCTTGTATTCAAATAAATATCTTGTCCTCACAAAATATGCTAATTTATCTTTACTGACACACTGATATAACACATGAAACTGTCGGTTGACAAAATGTATTTTATATTACTTAATCCTTGATGTTCTTACATGTTGTTTGTTTCTCTGAAGAGCCTGAGAACAGCAATAGGTTTCTCAGTCTTCAGCATAAGATTTACAGAAGCTCAAAAGTTTATTGGAAAATTATGAAGCATTTTAGCTGGTATTGATAAACAAGCACTTGTTCCCATAATAGTTTGGAGGGCAATCATTATATTTATATTGTCCTTTCTCTGTTTTTTCTCTTATGTTTACAGATATGGAGGTTAATTACAAACTACTTATTTTTTGGACCGGTTGGCTTTAATTTTTTATTTAACATGATTTTTTTGTATCCTTCCTTACGTTTGTCTCCCATCTTTGGAACACAGAACTTTGCACTGTAGGTAAATGTCACTCACTACACAGGGGGCTAGTTTTGTACCTTTGTTGACTTAGTGGGAGTTAGCATTATTGACTTTGCTGGTAGTGTGATTGGGCTCCACAAAGGAAATTCTTCATTCTACCTAGTCAGTAACAATTCTGCCATTGACTTCAGTGGGACCAGAATTTTCATCTTAAAAGTTTAACCTAGCAACTTTTCCTTAGTGACTTACTAGAGAATATTACTTTTAATCTGGAAAAAATCTTTTAAGAGTAAGAAGGCAGTTCATTTTCCATTACTACACTACTCCTTTTGAATAGCAAGTCAGGCTTCTGATTGGATTTGTATTCTATGGTGTGAGCAGCTGTTCGGTTAGAGCTGGACTTAGACCAGGGGTGGGCAATTATTTTGGGCGGAGGGCCACTTACCCAGATTTGGCAGGCTGTCGAGGGCTGCATGGGTAGCCCCGTGCCGTGACAGGTGCCCCGCACCATGACAGGTGCCCTGCTCCCTGATCACCATCTTGAGACCAACGTCCCAGTGTCTTGGGACCAATGTCCCAGGGCCAGCACCGGTGAGGCCCAAAGCGGGGCACAGGCTGGCAAGGGTCTGTGGAGCCAGGCTAGGCTGAACCAGCAGGGAGTGGGGAGCTGGCCTGGCTCCACAGAGCCCCTGCCGGCTGGGACCCCGCACTCCTGCCACCCTGCTCTGGGCCCTGCCGGTGCTGGCCCCAGGACACTGGTGCAGGCCCCGTGCTCCTGCTGGCTCCTTGCCCGCTCACACCCAGTGCGCCCCAGCCTTGCCTGTTCACCAGCTGAGTGTGGGGAAAAGTGGCCCCTCGCCTGCCCCATGGTCGGCGCTCCATGCTGCAGGCGCTCGCAGCCCACGTGGGGCTGTCTGGAGCAGGCACAGATTTTTCCCTGTGCTCAGTACCAGCTTGTAACCTGCCCCACTGCCAGCCTGGCTGTGGGGCCAGGTTACAAGGTGGTGCTGAGCGCAGTGGGGCGGGGAAAGCAGCCCGTCCCCGCCCCATGCCCGGTGCCCCAAGCTGCAGCCACTCTCAGCCTGCCTGGGGCTGCCTGTGCCTGCTCCAGACAGCCCCGCGTGGGCTGCGAGTGCCTGCAGCGTGGGGCGCTGGCCATGGGGCGGGCGAGGGGCTGCTTTTCTCCACGCAGAGAAGGAGCCCAGGGAAAAGCTGTGTGGAGAGGAAGCAGCCCTTCCCCCACCCCACACCTGGTGCCCTATGCTGCAAGTACCCGCAGCCCACATGGGGCTGTCCAGAGTGGGCACGGGCAGCCCCATGCGGGCTGCAAGTAACTGCAGCGCGGGGCACCAGGCGTGGGGTGGGGGAGGGGCCCTGCGGGCCGGATAGAACAGCCTTGCATGCTGCATCCGGCCCGCAGGCCATATTTTGCCCACCCCTGACTTAGACCAACAGGCTTACTTCATGAAAGTCGGTACTTGTCTGATGACCCTTTGACCTTTCCTTTGATCTTGGAAGCTGCTGTAAAACTCAGGCTGGTATTTTCTTAATTTTTCTGGAAACAGATTTTAGTGTTAAACTTTCCTGACCTATAACCTCAGATACCGTTATTGCCGAATGCTGGAGGAAGGCTCTTTCCGAGGTCGGACGGCAGATTTTGTATTTATGTTCCTTTTTGGTGGACTTTTAATGACTGTATCCTTTTAATGCCTGAACAAAACAAAAGATGCTTTGAGCAAGAGTACAAATCATAGGCCGTGATTTAAAAGTACATAAAGAGGAAAATGCTTTTTGTCGAATGAGATTTGTCTTCTGGTAGAATTCAAACCTTCTCAGATCTCAATGTTACTATTATGTGTATGACTGATCTTACAAAACCTAATATTAGAGTTAGGGATTTAAAGATGGAATTGTAGGTGTGCAGATATCAGGATGGAAGGGAGATATTACTGGGTAATGATGTACCTCAAACCTACCTATAGATAGAAAATAGTGAAAATGAATCCTCTTGTATTGTACTTGTAGCATACAGTTATTAAACTGTAGTGACTGGCTTGACTGAAGACGGATTTAACTTGTTGGTGAAAAATTGTTTAGCAAACTATAGAATCATGTCATCATTGACCTCCAGTATTTATTTTCTGTGCACTA